CTAAAGTTTTAAAGTTTATTTTTCTTTTTCTACCTAACCAGTGTGCTATAAAGTTTTAAAGTTTGTCTTCATTTGTTCCTTCTTCAGTGCTTTTCTTTTCTTTATGTAGATCTGTGTTTCTGACCTGTATCATTTCCCTCCTCTCTAAGGAACTTCTTTGAACATTTCTTGCAAGACAGGTCTACAATTTCCCTCAATTTTTGTTTGGCAAAGTCTTTATTTCTCCTTCACTTTTGCAGGATAACTTTGCACTGAGTTCTAGGTTAGTGATTTTTTTTTCTGCACTTTAAATATTTCACTGCACTCTCTCCTTGCTCACATGATGTTAAGAAGTCAGCTTTCTTGTCTTTGTTTTTCTATAGGTACAGTGTTTTTTTCCCTCTGGTTTCTCTCAAGACTTTTTATTATTGTTTTTTTGTAGTCTCAAAATTATATGTTTAGGCATAGTTTTTTGTTTGTTTGTTTTTGTTATTTATTCTGCTTGGTGTCTTCTTGAGCTTCCTGGATCTATGGTTTGGTGTCTGACATTAATTTGGGGAAATTCTCAGTCATTATTGTTTCAAATATTTCTTCTGTTCCTTTCCCTCCTCCTTCTGGTCTCATTATTTGCATGTTACATCTTTTGTAGTTGTCCCACAGTCCTTGGATGTTTTGTTCTGTATTTTTCAGTCTTTGCGTTCTTTGCTTTTCAGTTTTGGAGGTTTCTGTTAAAATATCCTCAAATTCAGAGATTATTTCTTCAGGCATGTACAGTCCACTAACAGGGCCCTCAAAGACATTCTTCGTATCTGTCACAGTGTTTTTGATAGGTAGTATTTATTTTTGGTTCCTAAACTTCCATCTCTCTGCTTCCATTGCCTGGCTGTTCTTGCTATCTACTTTATTTATTATATCCTTTAGCATATTAGCCATAGTTATTTTATTTTTGGAGACAGGGTCTTGCTCTCTTACCCAGGCTGGAGTGCAGTGGCATGATCACTGCTCACTGCAGCTACAATCTCTCAAGCTCAAGTGATCTTCCCACCTCTCCCAAACAGCTGGACCACAGGCACATGCCATCATGCCTGGCTAGTTTTTTTTTTTAGACACTGGGTCTCACTTAGTTGCCCAAGCTTGAATTCCTGGGCTCAAGCATCAGCCTCCCAGATTGCTGGGATTACAGGAGTGAGTCACCTCACTTGGCCTCGGTCATAGTTACTTTAAATTCCCAGTCTGTTATTCTAATATTCCTCCCATATGTACTTCTTATGCTTGTTCTACCTTTTTAAATTGTGGATTTTGGTGCTTTTTCATTTTTTTGGCTTTCAGTATGCCTGTTAACTTTTTCTTGATAGTCAGACATGATACGATGTACCAGGTAAAAAGAACTGCTGTAAGTAAGTAGGTTTTTGGTTTTTTTTTTTTTTTTTTTTTTTTTTTAAAGATGGGGTTTCACCATGATGGCCAGACTGGTCTTGAACTCCTGACCTCAGGTGATCCACCCACCTTGGCCTCCCAAAGTGCTGGAATTACAGGTGCGAGCCACTGCACCTGGCCTTGTTTTGTTTTTTAATGGCATGATCTCAGCTCACTGCAACCTCCACCTCCTGGGTTCAAATGATTCTCCAGCCTCAGCCTCGTAAGTAGCTGGGATTACAGGCGCCTGCCACCACACCCAGCTAATTTTTGTATTTTTAGTAGAGATGGGGTTTTACCATGTTGGCCAGTCTGGTGTCAAACTGCTGACCTCGTGATCCACCTGCCTCAGCCTCCCAAAGTGCTAGGATTACAGGTGTGAGCCATCGCACCCGGCCAGAAAATAGGCCTTTAATAATGTAGGAAGGAGTTGGGGAGGGGAAGTGTTCTATGGTCCTATGAGTAGGTCTCAGTCTTTGAGTGAGCCTGTGCCCTGGGCTGTGAACTTCACAAGTATTTCTCAGGTTTTTTCTCCTCCTTCAGTGGAACAGGTTGGCTAAAGTGGGCTGGAGTTGAGGAGCCCATTCCTCCTTCCACTGGAAGGGTAGACCTGACTGGAACTGGATATTTTTCTTCTCCAGGTCAGTTAGGTTCGAATAAAACCTCAGAAGGTTCAGCTCTGGTTAAATAGTTTCTCCTTGCTAAGAACAGAATACCCTGGCATATTTCAAAGTGATTCCTTTCCCCTCCCTCTAATGGAAGCACAGGGATTTTTCTCAGATATCCACTGAGAACCTGGTTAAGTTCCTAGAGATAAAAAATCATAAGTGGGGGGTCCCCAGTGATAGGGTCCTCCTGACGTTTTTATTCTCAGACTTGTCCACTCTGAACCTCCAGCAATTTTGTCAGTTACAGTCCTGGGTTCCCTATCTTGGCACGGGTTCCCATAGAGGTTTCTGCTCATGGGTTGCTGCTCTAGCAAGCTAATTCTGAGCATTTGCTTTTTGATCCCTGCAATCTTAGGCATAGTAATTTGCCCTGTGATCCTACCTCTCTGACATATCTAAGAAGAGTTATTGATTTTTTTTCTTTTTTTTTGAGATGGAGTTTCGCTCTTGTTACCCAGGCTGGAGTGCAGTGGCGCGATCTCGGCTCACTGCAACCTCCGCCTCCTGGGTTCAGGCAATTCTCCTGCCTCAGCCTCCTGAGTGGCTGGGATTACAGGCACGCACCACCATGCCCAGCTAATTTTTTGTATTTTTAGTAGAGACGGGGTTTGACCATGTTTACCAGGATGGTCTCGATCTCTTGACCTCGTGATCCACCTGCCTCAGCCTCCCAAAGTGCTGGGATTACAGGCGTGAGCCACTGCGCCCAGCCAAGAAGAGTTATTGATTTTTTAGTTCAGCTTTTTAATTATTGTTAGGATAGAGTGGCAACTTCTAACTTCTTCCATGTCAGACCAGAAACTGGAAGTCAAGATAATTTTTTTTTTTTTTTTTTTTTGAGATGGAATTTAGCTCTGTTGCCCAGGCTAGAGTGAGTGGCACAATCTTGGCTCACTGTAGCCTCTGCTTCCCGGGTTCAAATGATTCTTCTGCCTCAGCCTCCTGAGTAGCTGGGATTATAGCCAGTAAGCCTCACTGATTTTTTGTTTTGCTTTTAGTAGACACAGGGTTTCACCATGTTGACCAGGCTGGTCTTGAACTCCTGACCTCCTCAAATGATCTGCCTACATCAGCCTCCCAAAGTGCTGGGATTACAGGTGTAAGCCATCACACCTAGCCAAGATAATTTTTTTTATTTTGAGATAAATACAGATTCACATGAAATTGTTAAGAAATAATAATGAAATCCCATGTACCCATGTATCCATTTTCCATCAATGGAAATAGATATTGCAAACCCGTTGTACAATATCACAGCCAGGATATTGACATCGATACAGTTAAGATACAGAACAGTTCTTTCACTAAATAATTTTTCATGTTGCCTCCTCACAGCTTCCAACCTGGCAACCACTAATGTGTTCTTCATTCCTATAATTTTGTCATTTTGAGAATGTTATATAAATGGAATCATATGTATGCGACCTTTTGGGACTGCCTTTTTTCATTCAGCATAAGTCTCTGGAGATTCATCCAAGTTGTTGTGTGTATGAAATAGTTTGCTTTTATTGCTGAATAGTATTCCACAGCATGGCTGTATCACAATTTGTTTAACCATTCACCTGCTGAAGGACATCTGGGTTGATTCCAGTTTTTGGCTATTATGAATAAGGGTGTTATGAACATTCATGTACAGGCTTTTGTGTGAGCATAAGTGTTCACTTACCTGGAATGAATGCCCAGGAGTGTAAGTATTGTCATTTGGTAGTTGCATATTTATTTTTTTAAGAGACTGCCAAACTGTTTTTCACAGTAGTACCATTTTACGTTATCACTAGCAATGTATGATCCAGTTTCTCTGCATCCTCATCAGCAACTGGTGTTGTCGATAATTTTTATTTTATGATTCTATAGATCAATTTTTGGAAGACTGACATCTTAATTTTATTGAGTTTTCCCATTCATTAATATAATAGGTCTCTCTATCTAAATATTCTTTGATTTCATCAGCATCTTATAGTTTTCATTATGCAAGTCTTGTATACATATTTTATTGGATTTACATCTAAGTGTGTCATTTTTTGGAGAGATAAATGAAATAGCATTTTAAATTTTGGTGTCCACATGTTTATCACTATTATACGTAAATACAATTGGTATTTGTATGTTTATTTTGTATCCTGCAACCTTGCTGATTTCATTAGTTCTAGGAGGTTTTAAAAATAGATTCCTTGGGCTGGGTGCGGTGGCTCACACCTGTAATCCCAGCACTTTGGGAGGCCGAGGTGGGAGGATCTCGAGTTCAGGAGATTGAGAGCATCCTGGCTAACACAGTGAAACCCCATCTCCACTAAAAGTACAAAAAATTAGCCAGGCGTGGTGGTAGGTGCCTGTAATCCCAGCTACTCGGGAGGCTGAGGCTAGAGAATCACTTGAAGCTGGGAGGCAGAGGTTGCAGTGAGCCAAGATCATGCCACTGCACTCCAGCCTAAGCGACAGAGCAAGACTACATCTCAAAAAAAAAAAAAAAAAAAAAAAAATAGATTCATTGGAGTTTTCTACATAGATAATAATGTCATCTATAAATAGAGGCAATTTCTTTTTTTCCTTTCCAATCTTCATGCCTTTTAATTTCCTTTTCTTGCCTTATTTTACTGCCTAGAACTTCCTAGTACTATGTTGTATAAGACTGGTGAGAGCAGATATTTTGCCTTAGCCTTACTCCTGATTTTTTTGTTTTTGTTTTTTTTGGGGGGATGGAGTTTCACTTTTGTTGCCCAGACTAGAGTGCAATGGCACGATCTCTGCTCACTGCAGCCTCTGCCTCCTGGGTTCAAGTGATTCTCCTGCCTCAGCTTCCCGAGTAGAGATTGGGTTTCACCATATTGGCCAGGCTGGTCTCAAACCTCTGACCTTGTGATCCACCCACCTTGGCCTACGAAAGTGCTGGGATTGCAGGTGTGAGCCACCGTGCCCAACCTTTATTTTTTTTTTTCACACGAAAATTTTTAGTTTATTAAGCTTCTTGTGAAAAATCCACAACGGCCATAGATAACATCATTGCAGCATCTTTACTCCTTCGGCACTTTTTGCCAGCACCAACATTGGCCTTTGCAGTCCCCCTGACTTTCTTCATTCTGTTTTTGCGTTCCTTTCGTTGCTTTCTTGAGGTCTTTTTCTTCTTATACAGACCATGTCTTGCAAGTCTATGTTTGGGTTCATTTTTCTTTGCATAATCCAGGGAATCATAAATCATGCCAAAGCCAGTTGTCTTGCCACCACGAAAATGAGTTCTGAATCCAAATACAAAGATGACATCCAGTGTGGTCTTGCATATTTTGGCTAGTTTTTCCCGAATTTCTGTCTTAGGCACTGTTGCCTTCCCAGGGTGAAGGACATCAATGACCATTGGTTTCCTCTGAAGTAGTCGGTTGGTCATGAACTTTCTAGTGAGGATAGTTACTGTGTCATTCATGATGGCGGCCTATCCTTAGACAGCCAGGGAGGAAAACGATTTTTTTTTTTAAGAGACAGGGTCTCGCTATGTTGCCCAGGCTGACCTTGAACTCCTTGGCTCAAGCAATCCTCTTCTCTCAGCCTCCTGAGCAACTGGGACTACAGGTGTGTACCATCATGTCTGGCTCTGCTGATCATTTGAAAAATATGGAAATCCTATGTTTTAAGGCTTTTTAACTTGAATTACATTACAGACTAGTACTTATCATTGTCCTGTTGGTATTCATTTGCATATTAACTTTCCTCCCTCTCTCTCTCTCTTTTTTTAGAGATGGGGGTCTCACTCTGTAGCCCAGGCTAGAGTGCAGTGGTGTGATCACAGCTCACTGCAGCCTTGACCTGCTGGACTCAAGCAATCTCCCACCTCAGGCTCCTGAGTAGCTGGGACTACAGGTGTGCCCCACTACACCCAGCTAATTTTTTTTTTTTTTAATTTGTAGAGATAGGGTGTCACTATGCTGTCCAGGCTGGTCTCAAGCTCCTGGCTTCAAGTGATCCTGCTGCCTTGGCCTCCCAAAGTGCTAGGATTATAGGCACGGGCCACTGCGCCCAGCCAGCGAAAGAGGGTATCTTAAAAGCAATTAGACTTCTTCCTTGCTTAATTTATGTTCTTTCTAAATTCAAGAAAAATATTCTGCAAAGGGTGTCAATGTCAATATTATAATAATTCTCTAATTATGAATGTCTCTTCATAAGAAATGTACATAAGTGTGAAAAATCACGATTAGGTACACTTAAGTCTACACATTGAATAGTTCTAACTGAATTTCTAGTTTATGAAAAGGCACAAATATTTCTAGTTTATGAAAAGGTTATGAGGAAAACTTTCTTTAAAAGATGTGTTTAACAGCCGAATCAGATATACTGAATAGACATAAAAAAGTAACGATTTTTTTTTTCACCTCAGGACTTTCCCCTGGTTTGATCTGACTGCTGTGCAACTCAGGGAAACTCCCTTTAGCCAGCATCTCTCAAGCAGTCCTCTTCTCCAAGACCACCTCACCCATCTATACTGTGATTCATTTGGCATCTCCCTAACCAACGAACAGCCAGTCATTTCCACAGGCTCTCCCTCCCAATGAGAGAACTCAGGAATCAGGATTGTTTCCCACTCACAGATTTTCTCTACAATGGTTGTGCCCTGATTATCACAGTTGACAGTGGGAGTCTTGTGACTGTATTGTGTTTGCCACATGATAGAGATCAGGAATTATATAACTGTACTAATGACTCTTTAAAATGTAGAATAAAACAAGTACTCCTATACATCAATATGTGTCTGGCTTTCAGAATCAACTACTGAAACTACACAACCTAACTTAAGTAAGCAGCTCCTACAGAAAAGCCTTGTTAATACAAATTATTTCTCTTCTAAAATTCAGGAAGTTATAATGTTATAAGTTTTAAGACAATTACATACTGCAGCTTCTTTTCCAATAAATCAAGTTCCAACCCATTTGCCAGCAATAGGCAGCTGGAAAAAGATAGTTTGATTTTCTCACAATTTTGGATGGAGAAGTGAATGTAAACCATCCTAATTAAATTATGACATATCATGCTTCTTTTGACTGTATATGACTGTTCTGGCACTACCTTATTTATAGCTATTTCCATTTAAATCATCAAAAAACCGGGTATTTAATGGGCTAAAACTCATTTTGCAAAATATAGATCTATACTGCAAATTTGTTGATTTCCTTTATGTTTCACAAATACTTTTCGTCAATTATAAGAGTTGAAAACAACAGGGCTATCACTGTTCTGTCATAGAACATAACCACTGTTTGCTAAATGCTACAGGGTTTTGAACGAAACCATTCACTACACATGTAAATCACCATGGTCTCAGGTGAATCATTTACATTTTGTTTTTTTTACATAATGATGAGCCAGGCCAATGCAATAGCTTGGTGTTAGAATGGTTTCTGATGAAATTTTGTTAGTCCAATTTGGGAAAATATTAGGTTCATCAAATATTAACAAATACTGGCATGAATATTAATCTGAGGCACTCTTGTGTCTCTCAGCAGAAAAACAGAAAAGCATATCATTTACTATTCAGGTGTAGGGAGCTGGAGAAGGTCTATCACTGTCCTTCAGGACTGTGTTAGCCCCATGGTTGTTTTCAGGATTAAAATGTGAGTTCAGAAAGAGAATGAGCTGTTATATCTGTCATACTAGAGGGGAACTAGAGCTATTAGGTAACAAGAAATATTTTATAATTCCTTTTCCTTCCTTCCTTCCTTCCTTTTCTTCCTTTCATTTGTTTATTTGAGATGGAGTCCTGTTCTGTCGCCCAAGCTAGAGTTCAGTGGCGCAATCTTGGCTCACTGCAACCTCCACCTTCTAGGTTCAAGTGATTCTCCTGCCTCAGCCTCCCGAGTGGCTGGGATTACAGGTGCCAGCTACCAAGCCTGTCTAATTTTTGTATTTTTAGTAGAGATGGGGTTTCACCATGTTGGCCAGGCTGGTTTCAAACTCCTGACCTCAAGTGATCTGCCTGGCGTGGCCAAAGTTTTGGGATTACAGGCGTGATCCACTGTGCCCAGCCTATAATTTCTTTTGAGAAGTCCAGTTGTGGGTAGACTGGAGCCTAAATTTTATGTTATAAAGATCTGGAGCTGGGCACTGTGGCTCACACCTGTAATCCCAGCTCTTAGGGAGGCAGAGGCAGGAGGATAGCTTGAGCTGAGGAGTTTGAGACCTGCCTGGGCAATATAGCAAGACCCCGTTCTCCACAAAAAGGAAAACAAAAAATTTGGAAAGTACCACATAAAAGATCCTTGTAGACAAACCACAGAACCTATTTCATAGTGCTAAGCCATGTTTAGATATTTACATATTTAGAGATATACATATCTAAAAATATTTTTAAATTTAATTTTCCCTGATGCCAAAAGGAACAGAGAACTTACCCACTTTTTTTCTTAAAACATTTCCTGGCCTGGTGCGGTGGTTCATGCCTGTAATCCAAGCACTTTGGAGACCAAGGCAGGCGAATCACCTGAGGTGGGGAGTTCAAGATCAGCCTGACCAACATGGTGAAACCCCCATCTTAAAAAAAAAAATGTATATATATATATTTAAAAAAAACACACACACACATTTCCTTTAGGGTGGGAGCAGTGGCTCAACACCTATAATCCCCACACTTTGGGAGGCCAAAGCAGGAGTATCTCTTGAGGCTGGGAGTTTGAGACTAGCCCGGCCAACATGGTGAAACCCCGTCTCTACTAAAAATACAAAAAACTTAGCTGGGTGTGGTGGCTCATGCCTGTAATCTCAGTTACTCAACAGGCTGAGGGAGGAGAATCACTTGAACCCAGTAGGTGGAGGTTGCAGTCAGCCGAGATTGCACCATTGCACTCCGGCCTGGGCAACAGAGTAAGACTCTGTCTCAAAAAAATAAACAACAACAAAAACATTTTCTTTAGAGAACTTGTCATTGTAAATCCTTTTACTGTGTCCTTGAGATGTATGTAAATCTTTTTCAAAGCTGAATAAATCTCTAGCCATTTTATACCCCAGAACGGTCTGTTTTTTGGAGGCCTTGGAGACATCTCTTTAAAATGTGAGCGCTAAGGAGGTTGGTACCTCCCTATCTCTGTGGGAGTTTAGCCTAAGTACTTGGCTCCAAGTAGTAACTTCTGTTTGCTGTCAGGACAGAAGTTTTATGTTTCTTTTGGATACATATAATTAACATGTATGTCATGGATTGTATCTGCCCTGCCATCTAAAAGGGTGAGATTTGTCTTTGCAATCTTTTCAGCAGCTTGCCCGTGACGTGCATCATAGTTTAATGCTTATTCAAGAATAACAATGGTTTCTTTTCTGCATTTGTGGAGAGGATTATTTCTCTGGATTTTATAGGCGATTTTATTTTTAATTACATTTCCCCAACATGTTCCTACTACCAGGTGCATTAGTAGAATTTTCCAGGAATTTTGTTTTGTTTGTTTGACACAGTGTCTTGCTCTGTCTCCCTGGGTGGAGTACAGTAGCCTCCCAGGTTCAAGTGATTCTCCTGCCTCAGCCTCCTGAGTAGCTGGGACTACAGGCATGTGCCACCATACCCAGCTAATTTTTGTAGAGATGGGGTTTTGCCTTGTTGGCCAGGCTGGTCTCAAACTCCTGACCTCAGGTGATATGCCTGTCTCAGCCTCCCAAATTGCTAGAATTACAGGTGTGAGCCACCTTGCCCGCCTCAGGAATTCTTATAATTACCCAGAAAGATAAGCATTATTATATTGGTTTTAACAAGGGGTTAAATTGAAAAAACAAAGGGAAGGTGCCTAAGTCAGAGACACAACTAGGAATGGAGCCAGCAGTTCTACCTGATCCTTAATGAAAAGGAGAAAAAGGGCCGGGCGTGGTGGCCCATGCCTGTAATCTCTGCACTTTGAGAGGCTGAGGCGGGTGGATCAGCTGAGATCAGGAGTTTGAGACCAGCCTGGCCAACATGGTGAAACCTCATCTCTACTAAAAATACAAAAATTAGCTGGGCGTGGTGGTGAGCGCCTGTAATCCCAGCTCTTCCAGAGGCTGAGGCAGGAGAATTGCTTGAATCCGGGAGGCAGAGGTTGCAGTGAGTTGAGATCATGCTATTGCACTCTAGCCTGGGCAACAGAGTGAGACTCCATCTCAAGAAAAAAAAAAAAAAAAAGGAGAAAAGGAAAAACCAAAAAAGAAAAGGCCATACCTCTTCCCTCAAGTAATTTAGTTTGATCTTTCAAGCTATGTGAAGTGGCTTCCCACTATGGTTCAATGCAAGGTAATTCCTCTTCCTCTTCAGGGGCAGTTATTTCTGGAGCATAATCCTGTAATCCTGCTGCTTTGACAAATTCAGATAAAGTCAAAGAATCAGATTTTATCCCAGTATGACTTTTTTGCTCTAAATACAAGCCAATAATATCCCTATAAGGAAGGCTGATGGAGCGTTTGAATAATGGCTCTTCAATTTCCAGGAGCTCCCGCGTATGCTGAGAAATTGCCTGAAATGCAAGGATAATTTTTTAATCAGACTAACCTGAAAACACAACCAGATCAAACGTTTATTTAGTTTTCTAAGCCTCTTGAATGTTAACTCCTTATTTCTAAGGGCATATAAAATAATGAAATAAATGCATAGGTTTACTAGCCTAGCTTTACCAAAACCAAGTTCTTAAATGTCACGTGATTTTTTTGTCCTTTTTAAAGTACCATTTAAGATTTCTAGGCCTTTGCATCAGATGGCCACAGATGGGTTCATTTCTTTCTTTCTGCTGAGCAATTTGACCAAGAATAAGAGCAGATAATATGTTCAGATTAGGAGCCATGACTATCTCTGGGAAGGTTATTAAATAACTTGTCTATAAGGGGCTCAGTTAACGTGCAGTTAAGAAAAAAAAATTATAGGCCAGGTGCAGTGGCTCACACCTGCAATCCCAGCACTTTGGGAGGCCAAAGCAGGTGGATCATGAGGTCAGGAGTTCGAGACCAGCCTGGCCAGTATGGTGACACCCCCTTCTCTACTAAAATTAGCCTGGCATGGTGGCGCGCACCTAGTCCTACCTTGGGAGGCTGAGGCAGGAGAATCACTTGAACCCGGGAGGTGGGGGTTGCACTGAGCCAAGATCACGCCACTGCACTCTAGCCTGAGCGACAGTGTCTCCATCTCAAAATCCGCCCCAAAAATTAGAGTAGATCAGGCTGGGTGAGGTGGCTTGTGCCTGTAATCCCAGCACTTTGGAAGGCCGAGGTGGGTGGATCATGAGGTCAGGAGTTTGAGACCAGCCTGGCCAACATAGTGAAACCCTGTCTCTATTTAAAAAAAAAAAAAAAAGACAATTATAACTCAGGGCTGGGTATGGTGGCTCATGCCTGTAATCTCAGCACTTTGGGAGGCTGAGGTGGGTGGATTACCTGAGGTCAGGAGTTCAAGACCAGCCTGGCCAACACAGTGAAACTCCATCTCTATTAACAATACAAAAATTAGCCAGGAGTGGTGGCAAGCGCCTGTGATCCCAGCTATCCAGGAGGCTGAGGCAGAAGAATCACTTGAACCTGGGAGGCAGAGGTTGCAATGAGCCAAGGTTTCACCATTGTACTCCAGCCTGGGCAACAAGAGCGAAACTCCATCTCAAAAAAAAAAAAAAAAAAAAAAAAAAATTGGCCGGGCGCGGTGGCTCAAGCCTGTAATCCCAGCACTTTGGGAGGCCAAGGTGGGTGGATCACGAAGTCAGGAGATTGAGACCATCCTGGCTAACATGGTGAAATGCTGTCTCTACTAAAAATACAAAAAATTAGCCGGATGTGGTGACACATGCCTATAGTCCCAGCTACTTGGAAGGCTGAAGTGGGAGGATCCCTTGAGCTTAGGAGTTTAAGGCTGCAATGAGGAGCCATGATTATGCCACTGCACTCCAGCCTAGATGACAGAGCAAGACCCTGTCTCCAAAAACAAACAAACAAACAAACAAAACACATGAGCAGGTGGCTTCTAAGAGTTCTTGTTTGTGATGCATGCTTCTATGTGCATATTTTGTTTGGCAAGCACCTCACCCTGAATTCTCCTTTAGTATATGTGCTGCCAAGGCAAGCACCCTGATTCTCCTTTCCAATGCCCTGAATAGAAAACGTTATTTCATACATTCCCTGAGGTTCAGAGATGGTGGTCCCAGGAGGTACACTGCAGTCATGTACACAT